TCATGTCAGAAGAGGTGGAAAAGTTCTTAGAGCAGGAGCCACAGTAACAGAAAACCAAGCTGCTACCAATGAAAACCGCAGGACAGTCGCGGACAATGTCGAGTTACCGGGGGACACGAAAGAAAGGATTTGGTTTGCAAACCACTTGCAGCAACGCAGAGTCACGTCTAGGAATGCTGCAAAGGAAAAATATCAAGGCCGGACTCTGAGGGATCAAAGACGGGGTATTCATTTCTTCAGTGCCTTAAAGATCTTGATTTGGCTGTTTTATTAAAAAAAAACAGAAACAAACAAACCTAAAATCAGGTCACGGCAGTGGGTCTCAACTGCTCGCTGAGGTCTGATCGAAGACGCACCTTCTGTTACAAGGGGCTTCGTCTTCATTTTGGCTACTCGTGTGGTAAGAGAGCCCCAGTCGGTGACCCTTTGAGAGATCAACGCTACCACTAGTAATCGGGGGTCTGCAAAACTGGAAGAAAGTCGTGGAGAGCTCACGAGGAAATGTGTGCGACCTAAGACATGAGGGTGACCAGCAAGCCTCCGTCTGCATGGCAGCACGCGCCCAGAGCTGCTTCCCGTGTGTGTGTGTGTGTGTGTCTGTGTGTGTGTGCTGAGGACACCTCCCGCTCTCGGAGATGGCTCCCACCACACTACACCACACCACACCAGGGGAAGAGAGTTTCCCTTCTCTTACAGCACTGCTACCTCCTATTCTTAGGTCACTGCCAACCAATCAAGCCAAGATTCCGGCAAAATGACGGGATGGAGGGAAGTGGGGAGGGAACAGAGGCAGAGAGGACAAGAGCAGAGAAATAGGAACAAAAACCTCTTTCCACTGGCCCCGCGCAAGGAGACTCTGACTTCTCGCGTCCCGGCCGTTGTCAGCATGACACGCCTGGCAGAGGGGGGGGGGTGGGGGGGACCACAGCGATGGAGCCACCCAAGGAAGGACACCGGCATGCCACAGTCCACGGACCCGCCCCACTTCCTTCATCTGTGTTGCTCTGAGTCTAGCCCGCCGCCTTTGGGGCCTGACCGATTCCAATGCTCTCGACGGGCAAGCGTGTGGGCAGTCTGTGGAATGGGCGCACGGCGCGCCCCCCTGCTTCTCGGGATGTCTGGGTGTATGTATGAAGGCACTAAAGCGGTTTTCGAGAAATCGCAGGCAGCAACTGCACCCACTCCCTCCACCTGTCAAGCTGGAGTGCTCGTCCCCGTGAGGAAGCTTAGATGTCGAGAAGAAGCTGTGTTCGTGCTTGGGAATTCTGACCCCTGGCCCCGGGAGGGAACACAAACGGAGGATTCTACATCACCAAAAACCGAAAGGAAAATACTCCACATCTCCGGCTGAGGGACGGGGATCGTTAAGCAGCAGATTTTCAAAACAGCAATTAAAATGAGCACAACAGTAGCTGGGAGCTAAAAAAAAAAAAAAAAAAAAAAAAAAGTAAAATCACTTGTTCCTTATTAGATTCTATTCTTTTTCATCTCCTCCCATAACAAACGGAGGAAAGGCAGACATTCTTCATTAATAGAACAGTCCATATATTTTTCCTCTAGTAATGCCTATATTTAAAATTTGTTCCAAAAAAGTATGAACCTATATCTCCTAACTTTTTACATAGATTCTCAGCAATCAAACTGTACTATTTTACAGATTAGAGTTTGCTTTTTTTTTTTAAGCTGTTGTTTCTTTTTTTCCTTCCTTCTGTAGCTAGAGTTGGGGGAATTATGGAGAAGGGTTCCTTTCAGAAAAATAAATTATTAAGGGGAGATTTCAGTTCACTCTTAAATGGAAAGGAACGAAGTGATGGCATTCCCATTTAAACATACCAAACAATCTCCCAGTAAATTACACACAGTTGCAAATAAATCCATGGAATATAAAGCTTAATCCTTCTCCCACACTTTTTTTGGATAATGAATTTACCTGTTGCTGCTAAATTGATAATTTTTAAAAAATATTTCTACATGTTTTAAAATGTGTGATCCCCAGTATGACAATAATGTTTGGAGACTTTTGTTTTTACATTTTTTTTGAAGTAAAAATTGTTTAAACTTTTTGAAGTTTCAGGAACTTGTAAAAGTTTATTAACAGGAAAGAAACAGCCGTCTATCTAGGATAAGATACGGTTAAATAAACCATCATCAAAAAACTGGCTTCCTACCCTAGAATTCCTGAGAATGCTTGCAAATTTTAAAGCAGGAAAACAAATGTTAAAAACAAAAACAAAAAACACTGTTAAATGCTCCCAGAGTTAGTCTTCATCTAAAATATATATTTATGTGTGTGTGTATATACATATACATATGGGTGTGTGTGTATATATATATACATATATATATACACACGCACTTTTTTGGTCTTTTTTTTTAAGTTTTACATTTTTTTCCCTTTAAGCTTATGATGGAAGAACATTTTAGCTTCTCATGGTTTCTTTTTTTTTTGTTTTTTTGTTTTTTTTTTTGTTTTTTGTATTTTTTTTTTTACATATTTCAAATCCCTCATTATGTCTTGTAAACAAGAGGGGCTCTAGCACCCGGCTTTCACCGTAGTATCGTAAGGAACTCAACTAACCCATAGTGCAGGTCAAGGAACCAACAGGCAGAGGAGGAGGAGGAGGAGGAGGGACAGGGCACGACAGGAAACCGAGAGTGGCAGTGGACAGGGTCACCGCTGGCTCAGGGGAGCCTGGGGATGTGCTCCTGGCCCAGGGACACCAAGGATCTTGCCTTCCGCAGGTGTGGGGGCCCGCCGAGGTCGCCGCACACACAGTGGGGGTTCTGCACTGCACACGGCGCGGTCGGAGGGGGCTGGAGGGAGACGGGTCCAGCCTCCCCGGGCAGAGGTGGACGGGGCATGGCGGTGATGAGAACCGGAGAGCGGAAGGAGGGCACAGTTACGTTTTCGACAAGGCATCCGACGGGACCACACAAGTTCTGACCACCTCCCCACCCAGGGGGTCACCGAGAGGGCTTGGGGTGAAGGCCCCCGTGGACGACGCGCGCCAATCTCTTGAGGCGAGGGGACATGGTCGACAGGAGAAGCCGAGAGGCCTGCAGAGTTCGCGTTCTCTGTCTCACAGAACCACTTAGATGCAAACAACTCAGTTTTGCCTTTTTTTTTTCCTTTTTTCCCTAGACACACCCACCCACCGACACACAGACACAAGCTAAGAGTCAAATACATCAGGCATCGTTGTATCTGTCACTGAAGATGCTAAAGAAAGAAAGAAAAAAAAAGACTCCTTTGTCCTCACTAGCAGCAAGTTACGGAGGACAGGAGAGAAATGCTCCCACCAAGGGTTGGAATGGGCAGGTATTTGCTGGTTCAGAATGTCGGCACTTTATGTTAAACAGTATAATGCAGACCGCAAAGTCCACACAAGTGCTAGCACATTACCGGCACACAGCCCCCCTCCCCCCCACCCCGCCCGCCCGCCAGCCCTCCACTTTGTAGAAACGCGGGTTCCCCTTTAGGTCTGCTGGAACTCTCTTCACAAACAAAAAGAAAAAAAAATAGAAAGCCGTTTGATACATTTTGATTCCAACTTAAGTACATACATGTTGGTGATAACTGTGGATTAAAAGTTGCCCCCCTATTCAGCCCAGAGTACTACTACATGATGCTTTAAAAAAAAATAGTATTTAAATACCGAAATTAAAAAAAAAAAAGCAACATTACAAAGGGGGGAGGGGGAAAATGAAAGAGGTCAAAACCAAAAATAAAAGGTGCAATACTTAAAAGTCTTTGCTAAGTTATACCTGCCTAAGCAAAACCACATACACAGGAAATACACAACACAGAGAGACGAGAGGAGACGCGTGAAGTACACACTGGTTTAAGAACATTCGTTAAGTAAACGTTTCTGTCAGTGATGGCCTGGTGCTGGAACACGCGGCGGCCTGGCACAGGGAGCACTCAGCAAGCGAGGCCAAGGGGGTGGAGGAGGGGCGCTGACAGCTCTCAGGAGGCTGCTTGCAAACAACTTTTTTTTTTCCTGTTTTCACACAATGAAAGAGAGAACTCATAGGAATATTGAATTCTGATGAATTCAATGATGATGAAATCTCCCATACCTGATTTACCCCAGAGAGGGGGAGCGTGGCTTTTTCTGCTCTGGAGACACCCCTTGACGACAAAGGGTCTCTGATCCCCCCGTCTCCACTCAAAAGTGATGAGGAGGAGGGAGGGACCGCCCGCAGATACTCAGGTGAGCCTAAGTGGCCACTTGCCTTTAAAAAAAAAACACCCATAAATAAATAAACACACAGTTGCTCCAAGAGGTCCCTCCTGCTCTCAGTTTTTTCCACATGGCAGTGGCTCCACGCTACTGCTGGGTCAAAAGGAAAAAAAAAAAAATAATCTTTTGAGGCTATTTGCAAATGCCAAGGAGCTCCCTGCTGGGATCAGGAAAAAGCACTTGCTCATCCCCGTGCTCCCCAGAGGAGCTGCTTTGAGGCAGCAACTGGTGTGCTTGTGTGTTCTCATCGTTTAAAAAAAAAAAAGAATTCAGAATAAAAAGCAGATGGCCGGCCAGCCAGCCTGCAGACTCGTGAGTGATGCAGCTTTCTGAGGGGGGGGCGAGGGGGGGGGTGGACACAGGCGCGCGCGTGCGCACACACACACACATACGGACAGAAAGGATGCACGCGGATGCACATGAACACACGTGCACACACATACACGAACGCGCATGCCTGGGCAGTCACGTGCGCCGGAACACACTGGTATTTATCGACCAGCCAATCACAAATTTTTTTCTTTCTTTTTTTTTTTGTTTTTTTAGGTTTTTTGTGTTTTTGTTTTTAAAGTGAGGCTCCGTCAAGTCTTCCCTCCCCCCACCCCAACAATTCTTTTGAATTCCCCTCCCTCCCAAACATGGTAGACCTAAGGACGGAAACACACCCAGTGCAAACAAAGTTAAAAAGCTATTTTTTTTTTCAGTATATATGTTTCTTAGCAACAACTTCCATATAACATGAAAAAAGTGAAAAACTAGAAACTAATTTTTTTAATTTTTTTTGTGTTTAAATTTAAATGGTATGTGTACTTGCTTCACATTGTCTTTCTAGGTTGGCGTTCATGATTCAAGTATTTCAAGAGTGATATGTTCTCTTTTTGGATTCATATTCCAAACGAAAAAACTGAAGTTAGAAGGGAGGCAACTATGTGCTCAGTCTGTCAGTGACCCACCTTTTTTTTTTTCTCTCTCTCCGTTTTCTTTTTTCCTTTTAAAAATGTATTTATTGCAAGTTGAAAAAAAAAACGAAAAGGTCAAGTTAGTGCTGCTGCTGTTCCAAAAAAGGTCACGAGGTCAGAGTTGAAAGTTCTAAGTTCAGATTGAATCGGACCCTCCTCCCAGAAGGTCGCCAGGTAGTAAAGGAGCAGGACTGCCCATCCTATGGGGGTCTTCCACGGGGGGGACGCCCCACAAGCTAGAAGAATAGTTTGGGGGGCCCCACAAGGAGGCGCCGGCGAGATCGGCCCCGCTGCCGCCAGCGCCGCTGCTCCACTGCCCGAGACCCGTGGACCCACCAAACAGATTCAGCGCGGGTCCCACGGGGTCGGACGGGGTCTGGCCGGTCTCCAGCGACTGCCAGCCGGCGGCAGGCGCGCTCGGGGTGGCTGCGGGCGTCGGGGGCTGCGCTTGCGCCAGAAAGCGGCTAACTTCATCATCGGTGGCGAACTCGGCCAGGATGGTAGTGTTTCCCAACACGCACCTGGAGAGAGAGAGAGAGAGGAGGGGGCGCTGACTGGGGCTCGCGGCCTCTGCGGGACCCCTGCGCTGCATGCCAAGTCCAACCTTGGCACCTGCTCCACTGCTGGTTATGAAGTGGGGGGAGGGCACCATCTCATCTAGACACCCCGCCCCCCCGCAACTTAGAAACAACAGCATTTCATCATTCCCTCCCCCCTCACACCACACACCCACCCAGAGGTCAAAGAAAGTGTCTAGCTTCAATGATGATAAAATGACGGGGCTCCACGGTTTCATCAATACTGGCTTTGTTTCCTGGGACTACAAACGCCAGCTTCACAAATCCCTTACTGCCGGAACGCTGATGATCGGCCTCTGACGCACACGAGACCACAGAGGAGATCCGGGGCTGCAGCAGCTTGGTGACTGCTGACGACATCATGCCGCCAGGTGCAGTTCCCGGGCCACTCTCGGGCTCGGGCAGCGGGGCCGGGTACTCACATGTGCAGCGCAGTCTGGGCCTTGGCCGCCTCCTGTTTGGTGCTGTATCGGATCAGGGCGGTGCCCTGGGTTAGGTTCAGGTGGAATGTCAGCAGAGGGCCATGCTGCATGCAGATGGTTCTCAAGGTTGACCCATCAATCTAAGAGAGGAGGGAGACGGGCAGGGCGTGAGAAGGACGTGCCCTTCCCTGCAGAAGGACTTCTGACCTGAGCATCACTGGGCTGGCCAAGGTAAGTCTTGGGGAGACGAACGCGAACAGGAAGTCGTAAGAGAATGCAGTGAAATCAGTGGACTTTTTTCTTTTTCTTTTTGGGTCACGCCTCGCAATGCTCAGGGGTTTCTCCTGGCTCTGCACTCAGGAATTCTTCCTGGTGGTGCTGGATGGACCATGTGGGATGCCGAGGATTGAACCCGGGTCGGCCACGTGCTAGGCCAATGCCCTACCCACTGTGTTATCGCTCCGGTCTGAAACCAGTGGTCTTAAAAGCAGATTTCAGGATGCTCAAGGCAGGGGGCCGAGAGGTCCAAGGTGCCCATTTCACAAAGGAAACAGTTGGTACAAACGCAGCTCAAGACAAAGGTAACCCCAGGTCAATTTTCCTCAAGAGATCCATAGGTGAAGGCAGATTGACATATAAAGTCTCACAACGCAGAATTAAGATGGCACCCGAATAAGAACGTGAGAAAATGCAGTTCCCAGCGTCCGGCCCTCACTGCCCAGCTAAGGATCTCAAGAAGACAGCCCGGCCCACCATCTGACGATCTGAAATGCTGGTGCCAACTCGGCTCAGACTACGCTGTCTCTTACCCTCACTTCCGCCAACTCAGGCGAGACTCACTTTACCCACTTCTCCGCGGGCTCTGCTGCCCTCAGTCCTGAGGCTGAGTGGCTCGGCTTTGCGTGGATGTCAGTTCATTTCTCCGGAGGGAGACAAATCCTCCTGGGACAGCCTGAAGTCGCGCTGCTGGCAGCCACAAGTGGAAACATTCTGTGGTTTGGCCATAAAAACGGGCAGGCAGAAAACTGGCAGTACCACCCTAGTTCTCTGAAGAAAACGCCTGGAGAAACTGCGGGCCCACGTTTGAGGTGACAACCCATGCTCGAAGCATGTCAGTATATGTGACTGTCCTTGTTTAGATCTCTTCTAAACAAATTTGAGGCAGTGAAAGGTGAAGAATTTAGGGGCTAGGGACATGAGTTCAGGAGTCCCGGGCACAGATCTGAGGTACCAGGCCCTGGGCTCAAGTCCCTGTACCATGTATGCCCCCCACCACGCCCCTGAGACTTCTATGAGGCCTAGACTGGCCCCCGCCATGCTATGCACTCCTGAGACCAGAGCCAGGAGGGAGCTCCCGAGCACTGCCAGGAATGGCCCAGCAACAGAAAACAGAAATGAAAAATTAAATTCTGAGGAAAATATTTGCATACAATGCACCAGATAAAGGATGACTGTAACACACACTTAGGGGCCAGAGCTATAGCACATCTGTCAGGGCGCTTGCCTTGCAGACGACCAGCCCAAGTTCTATCCCTGTGACCCCATATGTCCCAAGCCCCACCAGGAGCGATTCTGGAACACAGAGCCTAAAGAGTAAGTCCTCAGCACCCAGGGGTGCAGGCCAAAAACAAAAACAAAAAAATACACAAAAAAGTTCCACAAGGGGAAAAATAAAAAACCCTGAGACTCCACTGCTTGGGACAAACCTCATCCAGAAATTGATCTGTTGAAAAACTCAGGTATATGTGGGTTTTGTGACAGAAATCTCTAGGCTCTCATGGAATTGGGGATGGGTGACCTCCCCCCATCTCCCTATCCTTCTGGGAGCCTGGCAGTCATGCCCATGACCCAGAGACTCAAATAAATCTTGAAAGAGACAGACAAGCTGCAGAGATGCTCCCAGACCCCGAAGTCAGCATCCAGCTAAAAATTTAACTCCACCTGTGCCATCCCATTCAAAATTTTCAGTGACATCTCAAACTTTGCACCACTGATATAGAGGAAGTAGCACACCACACTGGATGGGATGTACAGGAGAAGGCGACCAGTCTTGATTAAAAAAATACTAACAAACAAGTCTTAGCCTATAACAAGTAATCTCTTTTTTTTTTCTTCTGCTTTTTGGGTTACACCGGGCGATGCACAGGAGTTACTCCTGGCTCTGCACTCAGGAATTACCCCTGGCAGTGCTCAGGGGGCCATATGGGATGCTGGGAATAGAACCCGGGTCAGCTGCGTGCAAGGCAAACACCCAACCCGCTGTGCTGTATCTCCAGCCCCAACAAGTAATCTCTTATGCAAAGGCTTAATGGCTCCAGGGTGAGATGGTGAGATACAACAATCTTCACACACTTTCTTCTAAGGAAACCTTTTTTGATCATTTTTAGCAAACTAATCATAACAAGCAAAAAAAAAAAAAAAAAACCTATTCAGGACCTGTTAGTGGGGCAGGCCTGAGTGGTGGTGGGGAAAATTGCGGGTAATGGTGGTGGGACTGATGTTGGAATATGGAATGTAATACATTATCATGAACAACTTTATGAAAATAGTTTTTAAAAACTTTTTTAAATGGGGAGAGGAGATGAAGAGACACTTAGTATTATTACAGAAATGGAAATGAACACAACAATGAGATGTAAACACTGTCATCACTCACCAGTGTGAAAGGCTTATCTCAAAAAGTCTGGAAATAAGCCATGTTGGCATAGATGTGGCCAAAAAGGGGAAGACTCCTTCCCCGCTGATCAAAATGTTGCTTTCACCTCGCGGAGTTCTCAAAAACGACCAGGAGTCCCTGCCAGCCCCAGCAACACCTCCATGGCGCTAACCCGTTCACCTGTGTTCTCTGCGGAACTGGGGCGAAGCAGCCGAGATATGGGAAAACCCCAAATGGTCAACTACGGGCCAGTGCCAAGAAGCTGTGGCCTACGTTCACACGATGCAGGAGAGACACGCAGCCACGCGAGCCGCTGCCTGGCTGCAACCAGAGGGAAGCCTGGTGAGCGGGGGCAGCCGCGAGGACGGGGACACACGGACTGAGTGCTCCCGTGTGTGGGAATGACCCAAGTTCAGAGCCAGGAGTAAGCCCTGACACCGGAAGGGATGCACAACCCCACCAGGCAAAAAGAATAAAGGAAAGTGGTACTCGGGGCCAGGGACAGAACTGGGGTTGACTCATGCAAGTTAAGCACCTAACTGGTAGTTCTCCGGCCCCTGAGGATACTGATATAAAACTTATATAAGTTACTTCAGCCAACTATGGGTCAAAAAAATAGCAAGACATTTGGCTGAAGCAAGCAGTTAAGGAGGTCACGAGCAGATTCAGACTCTCTCTCTCTCTCTCTCTCTTCGCTTTTTGGGTCATACCCGGCAATGCACATTGGTTATTCCCGGTCGGCACTCAGGAATTACTCCTGGCGGTGCTCAGGGGACCATACGGGATGCTGGGAATCGAACCCGGGTTGGCCACATGCAAGGCGAACGCCCTACCTGCTGTGCTATTGCTCCAGCCCCCCCCCCCCAGACTCACTCTTTCATTTAGAATGGGCGTTTTCAACATGTACCCTGAAATGCAACCCAAGGTTTACTCCTGCAAATGAGTTCAGTCGGCACACACATTTCGGCGTGGGCTGGGGAGCCAGCGAAAGGTGTGCTTTTCGTGTGGGAGGAGGCCCACGTTCAACTCTCGGTCCCACATGGTCCCCAAGCACTGTCAAGAGTGACCCCTGAGCATTCAGCAGGAACAGCCCCCAAACACTGCTAAGTGACGCCCACGAAACAAACATAACATCAAAAAGAACCCCCCCCCCCCCCACACACACAAGTTTAGGAGGAACAATTTCCCCACAGAGAACCGTCAGATATGGCTACATCTTGAAGTGCCTAAGAAGTCTCAGGGAAGCAGCCTGCTTAATTTTAATTAAGTACAAACTCCAAACATTAAATTAGGCCAGAGACCTATTACTGTCCCCTGGGAACACTTCGGAAAAGGCTGGCTTGGTAAAGTGTGCGGGAATTAATTGATGAATTAAATGCTACGCAGCCCAACCGGTGTGTGGAAGGGCGTGAGGTAAAACCGATTTCTCTGAGCCAACGGTTGTGAAGTTTGTGCTAGGAAGTCTAGGTGCTGGTCCGCGCCCGGGGCTGGATCCCTGCTGCCCCGGCTGGTTCCCCAAGCTTCACCAGGAATGAGCCCTGAGTGCAGAGCCAGGAGTAATAAGCCCAGAGTATCAGCAGGCTCACTTAACTCATACCTGAACGTCCCACTTTAAGGTACCACAAACGCGTCCGTTACGCGAGGAAGTTTTAGGAAAAGGGAGGAGAGCCGGCGTGAGCCAAACCCCACCCAGAGGCTACGTTCCCTGCGAGCAGAACCGACCAGCAGAAAAACAGACTCAGGTGGAAACGAGCAGCACCCACATGGTGTCACCGCCGAGGCAGCCACCCGCAGTGACCGCTGTCCCCTCAGCCACAGCAACACCCCACCCGCATGGACACCCACCCGGCTGGCTGGCCCCCCGCAGGGAGGGACAGGAGAGGCCCCCCTGAGTCTCTGAGGACCACCCAGCCCACCCCCGCACCCGCTCCTAGGCGCACTGCCTGGGGATTACCTGTGGAGTGAGATTGTGAAGGACCAGCCAGTAACTCGGACGAACTGAGCCGCCGTCACTCCAGGTCGAGGCTGCAAGCACCAGGAGAGACGGTCAGAACCCTCCAAAGCCGCCTGAAGTTCGCCGGCGTGACACAAGCGTACGAGGCCCCCGGGGCTCTGCACTCCTCTGAGGAAGGGGGTTTCTCTCTCCTCCTCACTGCATCATGACCGTGTGGTTGGCCACCCGGGCCCTGCTAACCCTCCCCAGCACGCCTTACGCAAAGGCCACATCGGCATTTTTGGTTTTGGCTTTTTGGGTCACACCCGGCGATGCTCAGGGGTTCCTCCTGGCTCTGCACTCAGGAATCACTCCTGGCGGTGCTCGGGGGACCCTATGGGATGCTGGGAATCGAACCCGGGTCGGCCGCGTGCAAGGCAAACGCCCTCCCCGCTGTGGCCCCTCAGCGTTTTGCTGCCGTTTGTCTTTTCTGCTTCTTTGCTTTTTCTGGTGATGCTAGCGGCCTCACATGTTCAAGACAAGGGCTGGACCTTCGCTGAGCCCTGTCCCAGCCTCCTCCTGTCCCCGGGGAGTCCTTGGGGGCCTGCGTCTCACACTATCGCTTTCCGCCAGAGACGCCTGGCCTGTCACGGGTCACCGCGTTGCGGCCTCCGGCATGCGCCGACTCGGTGCCTGGCCGGGGGTGCTCTCACCTGAGGCGAGCCGCGAGTCCTGTGTCCCCCAGCCCCTGACCGATCGGGGTGCTGTGCTGCTCCAGGGAGAGGACGGTTTGGGGGTGGTCAGGCCGGGCGGGGGGCGGGGCAGCGGGGTAGTGTTCCTTGAGGAAAGATGGTTTTTCCACATCTTGTTGGAGAGATGAGTGGGGTTGTGTCCGATGGGATCCGGGGACCATGTTGATTTATAGTCAGGGAACTTTGCTGTGAGGAGAGAAGAAAGGGCTGAGGCCCGTCCGCTCACGCAGGGGACTGTCACTCTTGACAAATGCACCCAGGACTCGAAGACGTAATAAAACGACGTAATAAAATGAACTCTGGGGTTGCAGAGAGCTCAGTGGGCTAGGACATGGGCGTCACAGGCAGGAGGCCTGGGTCTGCTCCCTGGGCCCCTCCAGGAGGGACCCTGAGCACCACTGGGTGTGTCCCATCCCTGGTCAAAAAACAAAATCCCAATTCTCAACTGCTTTCTTGATTCTTGATAAAGGAGCCGTGTGTGTGTGTGTGTGTGGGGGGGGGGGGGGGGGGGAGGGGGAAGGGAGGGAGGGGGGGTTACAAGAGAAAGGTTTTTTTTTGTTTGTTTGTTTGTTTTGGGGCCACACCCAGCGATGCTCCTGGCAGTGCTTGGGGGACCACATGGAATGCTGGGAATCAAACCCGGGTCGGTCGTGTGCAAGGCAAACGCCCTCCCCATTGTGCTATCGCTCCAGCCCCCCAAGAAAGGTTTTATTCCTAATGTCATTAATGTAACAGATAACGCAACGCACATGCTAGTAGAACTCACTGTCACTGTCCTCCCGTTGTTCATCGATTTTCTCGCGCAGGCCCAGTAACGTCTCCATTGTGAGACTTTGCTGTTACTGTGTTTGGCATATCGAATACGTCACGGGGAGCTTGCCAGGCTTTGCCATGCGGGCGAGATACTCTCAATAGCTTGCCGGGCTCCCCGAGAGGGGCAGAAGAATCAAACTTGGGTCGGCCATGTTGGCTGCGTGCAAGGCAAACGCCCTACCCGCTGTGCTATCGCTCCAGCCCAGCAGAACTCAAATATCTATAAACACGCTGTGAAGAAATGAGTGCCCTGGAAAGGCGTACAGTTCTTGGCTTGGAACACGAGAAATCAATATTCAACATGTTTTAAAAAGAGCATTCAGGGGCTGGAGCGATAGCACAGCAGAGAGGGCATTTGCCTTGCACGTGGCCAACCTGGGTTCGATTCCCAATATCCCATATGGTCCCCTGAGCACCGCCAGGAGTAATTCCTGAGTGCAGAGCCAGGAGGAACCCCTCCGGGTGTGACCCCCCAAAAAAAAAAATTAAAAAAAAAAAGAGCATTCGGGGGCTACAGCGACAGGATAGTGGGGAGCGTATTTGCCTTGTACATGGCCGACCCATGTTCAATCCCCGACATCTCATGTGGTCTCCTGAGCACCAAGTGCATGGCCAGGAGTAACTAACACCTGAGCACCACCGGGTGCGGCCCCCAAACCAAAACCAACCCAAACAAACAAACAAAAAATTCCAAAAAAATAGAGGGATCACTAATGTTCACTCTGCGTTAAGGCAACAGTACATCTCGCTGCAGGTGAAGCTCTAGTTCAGATGGGGAGACAGAGCAGGTGAGCAACAGAACCGGGCACCGCAGGCAGCATCTCACAAGCTCCGCACACGGCTGATGCCAGGCGGTCAGCACAGGCTCCGCAGAGCCAGGTCTCCGAGAATGGGCAGGCAGAGAGGAAGAAAAAGAACCAAACAGAAAAAGAACCAGGACTCGATGGGCCCGGCACCCTCCGCTCCCAGAGTTCTCCTGAGCTTCGGCAGAACATCTGACAGGGAGGGACAGGTAAGGAGGGAGGGCAGGAGCGTGGGCAAGGGGTTTGCAGGGTCTATTCATTCAGAGTGAGGTGGTTAATCTTGCGAACAGAAAGAACCGGAGGAAATGGAACAAGCCCCCCAGGAGATGGCTCCCGGGAGCAAGGGAGAGGGGGGAAGAGGGAGAAATTTTGGGTCTGAATGACACAGTAGAACATCATTAGGAAAAATCAGGTTAGGAAAGAAAGATTTTGGGTGCAACGGCAGGGGGTGGGAGGGAGTCTATGTTTAGTTTTGGACAACTGTGGGGTGACTCTTGGTCACTCACAGGTAAAGCAGAAAACAATACGAGATACAGACAATCAGCAGAAAGGGACGAACGCAAGAGGCTCTCGAGGTGAAAGAGGCAGGCGTGCGAATGAATGCAGAGTGGAGGGTGGAGGTTAGACATGTGGAATGGGGGCGTGGTGGTGGCGGCAGGAGGGATATGGGGGATACTGGTGGTGAGAAATGTCCTCTGGTGGAGGGATGGGTGCTGGAACATCGTATGAGCAAAGCCCAATCACAAACGCTTTATAACTATCTCACAGTGATTCCATTAAAAAAAAAAAGTTTTTAAAAAAGACAGAGGGATGAAGGGAGGAAGGGAGGAAGGGAGGGAGGGAAGGAGGGAAAGAGGGAAGGAAAAGAAAAAAAGGGACAGGAAGGAAGGAAGGAAGGAAGGAAAGGAGGGAGGGAGGGAGGGAAGGAAGGAAAAGGAAGAAAGGGACAGGAAGGAAGGAAGGAAGGAAGGAAGGAAGGAAAGGAGGGAGGGAGGGAGAGAGAAAGGAGCGGGAGTACAATGGGCATGCAAATAAAACAAAAAGCAAATGCCTGGTCCGATCCCCCGCATCCGATATAGTCCCCTGAACACCGCCAGGAGTGATTCCAGACAGACTGCAGAGCCAGGAGTAACTCCTGAGCACAGCCAGGTGTGACCCCAAAACAAGACAAAACAAAAAAACCGTGGAATACTGAGCTGGTGCTTTTCCCATTCACCCACAGCCCAGAAACGTCTGAGCTCTCGAATCCCAGTCTCTCCGTCTACACACGGGCTGAAGGCTAGGGGCCTCCGAGTGATGGCAGGGCTGGCTGAACTCTGGGCAGGACGCAGAGATGGGAGAAAAGGACACGGCCGGCCCGAAAAGGCCATTAACCTGCGGCGGTATAGTAGGCACAGTTGATTTTATTTGTTTTTGCCTGGATAAAGAGCAGAAGCCAGCATGCTTTTAGTGGCGCGAGGTTCAACTTTTGTGAAGGCCAAAGTGCCAATTAGCAGGGACGCCGCACGCACACCTCCAATGGCTTTATTATGCCCACGAGCTTTCTCATTCTCGACTGTCCTCTTAAAAACACAGGTACTTCAACAAACGTTGTCGGTAGGATTAATTAAGGGCCTCCTTTCCTCTTGGCCATCTGCCCACGGGCCTTTGTAAGTGGAAGTGTTTTCAGAGAAAAGCAAGTTATAATTGGCTGCCGTCTGAAGAACCACCTGCACTTAATTGGCTCTTCCTGGATTCCTGGATTCTCCTGGCAGACTGGTTAAGAGAAACGCCCTCGTGTCATCGAGACTGAGCCTCAGCCCTTTCAACATCCTGCAGCTGCCCACGGCGAGGTCACCACCTGCCCGGAGCTTCCTGGAGAACGAAACTCAACTCACGGGCGAGGTGTGACTCCCCTGCCAGCTCTCCAGAGATCATGCAGTTCCTGGGGGAAGGGGAGGAGTCACGCTCCGGGAAGACGCAAGCCGAATGCCTACCTGAAGTGCTATGGACGTTGGTAAAGGAGTTGTCAGAGGCACTATAGGGCCAGGCACCAGGTGAAGGCAGCGAGGTGTTGAGGGAAGAGTTAGACCCTGGGGGTGGACAAGGGGAAGAAAACATTGTGGGTGTCAGCAGAGCCGGTGAGCCCTCAAGATCCGTACTCAATCCTTAACGCAAGAGCAAACCATAGATCTTTCCAAAGACACATGAGGCCTGAGCGGGGGCTCAGGGGCGGAGAACAAGCATTAAGCCCTGGGTTCCAGCCCTGCTAACACCCCACCAAATAAAAAGAAAATAAATGCAAAAATGCTTCCTATTCTTTTGGGGTCAGAGAAATAGTACATTGGGAAAGGCGCTTGCCTTGCAAGCTTCTGACCTGGGCTCGAGCCCTGGCACCATATCCGATTCCCTGAGCCCACCGAGAGGGATCCCTGAGCACAGAGCCAGGAGTAAGCTCTGAGCGTAGCCAGGTGTGGGCCCCAAACAAACAGAAAGTTTCCTGTTTTTTTTTTTCTTTTTGGGTTACACCCGGCGATGCAGATCCTGGCTCTGCACTCAGGAATTACTCCTGACAGTGCTCGGGGAACCCTATGGGATGCTGGGAACTGAGCCTGGGTTGGCCGCGTGCAAGGCAAACGCCCTCCCCGCTGTACTATCGCTCCAGCCCCTGCTGTTATTATTATTATTATTATTATTTTTTATTCTTTTAAATAGGGGACAAGCCCTGAGTGAAGACCTAGAACACAGCTGACGTGTGCGCCGGGACCAAACTTGGGAGGCTGCCACTCACGCGTCGCCCAGTCTGGACACATTCTTCATTCTGTCCTTGTTTCTGATTTTACCTGGGGCCACATCTGGCGATCCACAGCCTGGAGGTACAGCACCTGGCTCCCTCTCAGCCGCCCCACCCCCTCCATTCTTCCGCTTTTTGATGTAAAGGATCAAATACTGCCCAGGGCAATCAAACCTCCAGGTGACAACTGTGCCGAGCTGGGCGCTGAAGTAGTGGGAAGGATGACTCGGCTTCCTTACCTGTGGTGTTATCCCGCAGAAGTTGGTGGTCAGTATCTACAATGGGAGATGTGGCTGTACCCCCCAGCACACTTCCTGGGGTGACGTAGGGGTCAGATTCAGGGTCAATATTTTGGATACCTTTCCATGGCACTCCTGGTTGAAATTCTGAGACAAGGAGAACTGTTGTTAGAAACAGGAGGTTGTCTTAAAAAAAAAAATTAATTAAGCCATTTTCCCTTTCTTTCCTTCTTTTCTTTTCTTTCTTTCTTTCTTTTTTTTTTTTTTTTTTTTTGCTTTTTGGGGTCATACCCAGCGATGCTCAGGGGTTCCTCCTGGCTCTGCACTCAGGAATCACTCCTGGCAGTATTCAGGGAACCCTATGGGATTCTGGGGATTGAACTCAGGACGGCCGCATGCAAGGTAAACGACCTACCTGCTGTGCTACCACTCTGGCCCATTAAGCCATTTTTCTGATTGAAGAAATACTTCTGTGAAGTTTAGTTTTGGAATCTATTTAACCTCAGATTGTCACCATTTAAAGAAAAAATTAAATAGAAAACTATACTCTGTTCTCACATGAGCGGTCCACTGGCTGGACCCTGATCAGAGCCCAGCGCTGGAGAGCAGCACCCACTCTGCAGGGAAACCCACGTCCGCAGCAGGGAGGGGCGGCCTGGGGTAGGTAAGGACCTGGGATACTACTAGGACAGGAAAGGGGAGAAAACCCACAGCTAGAGAGAGGGGCTTCTGCTGGCCACCTCACTGAGGGTCAGCCGACTGCCCGAACAGACCACAGGTCTATGGCAGGAGCTTCTGGCTCATTTTCAACCACATCGAAGGTAGGTAGCACATGAAATTTCACTTCTGGGGCCAGAGCGATAGTACATCGGGGAGGGCATTTGCCTTACACACATGTCGACCCAGGTTCGATCCCAGGCATCCCAAATGGTCCCCTGAGTACTGCCAGGAGGAATTCCTGAGTGCAGAGCCAGATGTGACCCAAAGAGCACCCCCCTTCCAAAAAAAAGAAAAAAATTTCATTTTCCTAACCACGAGAAAAATAATATGTATTAACATGAACAACATACCATACGATCCATAACAGAATGAACTATACACAGTAGCGTGGCAAATATGCCTACACAGGACGGCTTCAAAGGGCACGTGTCAAAGTACTCGATTATCACTTGACACTTTCAACAACGGAAACTGCTTATGTTTGAAACAAGGAGAGAAAAGAAGGAAGAAGGGAACCAAGAGTCTACCTGGACTCATTGATGAGGAATACTGGGGGGAGAAATGCTTGGTACTGGCTTAACAACTAAATCCAGGCAGCGGGCACAGGCCTGAGATGGACGGCAAGGCCTGGCCACTGTGATTATTCTACTCCTGTGACTTTCCTCCGCATGCTGCCGTGTCCACCACATAAAAAGTGACCTTTAAGGTGAACACTGCCCACATCTTCCCGAGCCCCTTCCACAGACCAGCAGAGCTATCCAAGGAGAACTTCCCGCCTTCCCGGCCCTCCCTGCGCCTTGAACGTCATCACTGAACGCCAGACTGAAAGATGGGCCTCGGACGGGTGGGGGCGGAAGGAAGAAGCCCAGAACCCGGAATGAAGAGCCCCCCACCCCAAAAAAAACAATAGATAACCCCCAGAAATGAAAGTGTTTTCTGGACAATACCTGGAGGCCAACTGGCATTGCTGGATTTACTTCCGATTTTATTTGTTGGTGGAGATTTGGCAGGTAACCAGCTATCACCAGCAGGACCCGTGTGGCCACCCAGCGTGTCGCCCTGGATGATATCGAACTGGTTGTACGGTGACCCTCCTCGGGCCTTACCGGGGGCCACGATAGCGCCTGAGGAGGGAGAAAGGAAGTTAAATTCTATCCAGAAGGAACTCCTGTAAACCTTTCCTTTTTTCTTTTTTTTCCCCCAATCCAGAAGAACTGAAAGAAATTCAAGACAGCGAAGCTGATGCACAGAGTGTGGGGAGGCCGAGGGGCTGCCCTGGAGACCAGCAGGTGATTAACAGGCACGGGGACTGTAACTCCTTCCCCTTCCTAAGCCCTGGCACGCTTGCTCTGAAACCCATCACTCACGTTTAAAATTCCCCAGTCTGAGGAAATGAACGCAACTTTGATAAACGAAGGCCCGTGCGTGTCATTATCCTCTCTGGCCCCAGACGGCCGACTCCAGAGAGGAGAGAGGAAGACGCCCGAGGCCTGAAGTGCTGCTGAGGCTCAGGACAGCAGCAAGGCCAGAGAGAGAGCGCAAAGCAAAAAGCATCTGCAATTGCTTTAAATTCCAAAGCACTGAGATGGAATGCCGGCCTGGGGTCCGTGCCAGCACTGAACTCGGCGGCGCTGAGCTCCGGGGCCCCACACGGAGAACAGCAAATCCTTTGTTCCTGCTTCCCTGAGAACGTTTCGGCGGTTTGGTCGGTGCCTGCTCGGTGCATTTTCTATGCTGTGAGGCAGGAAAAGACTTAAAATTCCCTTCAACTTAAACACACACACACACACACACACACACCCTTCCTATGAAAATTGTACATACACACAGACACACATTTTCTATGAAAATTGTTGGTGCATTTTCTATGCTGTGAGGCAGGAAAAGATTTAAAATTCCCTTCAACTTAAGCACACACACACACACACACACACACACACACACACACGCCCCTTCCTATGAAAATTGTACATACACACACACACACATTTTCTATGAAAATTGTTGGTGCATTTTCTATGCTGTGAGGCAGGAAAAGACTTAATATTCTCTTTAACTTACACACACACACACACACACACACACCTTCCTATGAAAATTGTCGGCCTCCATGAGACGTCTCTACTTATTTCCCATGGATTTTATTTATTTTACTTATTTCAATGAATTTTACGTTCTATGGTATCATCCGATCTACTTTCTTTTTTTTATGATGCTGCTTATAAAGAGAGAAGACTCTTTTCCAGAATAATTATTAAATATTTGTGAAGATACTGATGAAAACAATCTGTCTCGTCCAGCCTCGTAAGAATATCATCAAAATTATCTTCCTGTTCAGTGAAAGCACCGTTTTATTTCTGGTGCGGGTGATACACACACACACACACACACACACACACACACACACACACACAGATACGCAACAGCACCTAGCCAAGCAGGAGAAAACGAAAAGCCCCATTACCTTGGGGTCTGCTAAGGAAACGAGGACGATGGCGGCTCTAGGCAATCAGACGTTTTAGCTTCCGGCTACGCTCCCTCCTGCCATCCTGCGTTTATTCCCGTGCACCCACCATGCCTTTGGGGACCTGGGGACTTGGTGACTCATTGGCCAAAGGAAGCGGTACAAGTGACTAAAGCTACAGAGGCTGGGCTTGCATTACTCAGCCCCAAGATTTTACAGTCTGGATCCATCACTCTTGGTTTCATGGCGTGAGCAAACCACAGGGCTTAGCCGTTGCAGGCGGAGAGAGCCGTGTGGGTACTTCGCCAGACCCTGGGCTGCTGCGTGCAGAGAGGCTAATAACGGCCCCCCTGAAAGGCTCAGGCTGACGGAGGGCTGAGGCTGGACGCTGCCATAGGAGCAGCCCAACCATGTCGGACCCATGGCCATCAAGGACCCAGTGGGGTCCAAAGAGATCCACTGTCAGTGGAACAAACACTGACACAGGGGCTGAAGGGAAGTTCTGAGAACTTTTCAGCTGTTCTATAAGGAAATGGAGACGCTCTCTGGAGACAGTCGGTGATGAGGGGCCAGGGTTGGCATTTATTCACAGTCAAAGCCACAACTGACGTCTTGCATGAAGAACAAGACGGCTTTCTGGAAATATCAGGCACGGAGCTATTAGCCACCTTTTGGAGATTAGAGAGTTTAAACAATCAGGATGAAACATATTCACTGTGATCTCCTGCACTTAGAAGTGCAGGAGGGGCCAGAGCCATAGTATAGTGGTGAGCGTTTGCCTTGAATGTGGCCAACCCAGGTCCGATCCCCAGCATCCCATATGGTCCCCCGAGCACTGCCAGCCATAATTTCTGAGTGCAGAGCCAGGAGTAACCCCTGAGCATCACCAGGTGTGACCCCAAAAGCCAAAAAATAATAATAATAATAATAAAAGGCCCTCCCGTTGATCATCGATTTGCTCGAGCGGGCCCAGTAACATCTCCATTGGAGACTTTGTTGTTACTGTGTTTGGCATATCGAATGCGTCACGGGGAGCTTGCCAGGCTCTGCCGTGCGGGCGAGATACTCTCGGTAGCTTGCCGGGCTCTCCGAGAGGGGCGGAGGAATCGAACTCGGGTCAGCCAGGTTGGCTGCGTGCAAGGCAAACACCCTACCGCTGTGCTATCGCTCCAGCCCACAATAATAATAATAAAAAAAATAAAAACAACCACCGGAATGAGATCTCCTTGCTAATTTATGGGGGCTTTGCCCTAACGGTTCTCAAGTTCAATGCCACTCTCCCAGACAGAAGCTTTGCTCTTCAGAGACCACCACTCCAACTTTCTTCAAACTTGCACTTACGTAACTGTCCAAATCTCTGTCCTAGGTGAGGTTAAGATGGTTAGTGAGGGGGAAGAGTCTGGGGCAAGAGGTGGTGGTGGTCACAAGAAAACATCAAAGAGCTGAAGAACCATCCTTCAAATTGATTTCTAAGACATGGCTTCAGATCCCGCAAGGGTCGGAACCATTCCAACGGGACATTTTCTTGCTCTTACCATTTTTGTGCATATTGGCTTCTTGTGTGGCTACAGAGGGCAGTCCCTCCATCATAGAGGTCCACTGTTTAAAGCGAGACTCGGTCCCAGCCTCCTTCCCACCGACCATGCCGTAGTCTATGCCGCCGGAGCTGAACCCTGAAACAGAGAAACCCACTTTAGATCTTTCTGTCCACGTCTCGGGACCCAGGAGCTCTGGGGCAGAACCCACCATGAACGCCTTATCATTTGAAGTCTGTGTCACTGCACAGAATCGAACTGGTTTGAAACACTGACCTTCGTCCTTTTTCATTTGTTTTCTCTTTTTTATTTTTAATTGACTCACAGTAACAAATACATTTACAAAGCTGTTCATGACTGGATTTCAGTCATACAATGTTCCAACACCCGTCCCTCCACGAGTGTATTTTTCCCACCACCAAGGGTCCCCGTTTTCCCTCCCGCCCTCCACCCGTCCTGCTATGCCCACGATGGTATGCCCTTTTCTTTTCTTTTCTCTCCCCCTGTACCCCCCTGCCTTTGTGACTTCTGTTCTTGACTGCTGAAAGTGTGATGACTCTTCGTGGAGGTAGAAAAAATGTGTACTAAGGGCCGGAGCGACAGTATATCGGATTGATTGTTTTGCATGCGGCCGATCTGCATTCGATCTCTGGCATCCCACTGGGTCCCCTGAGCACCACCAGGCATGATTCCTGAGTGCAGAGCCAGAAGTAGCCCCTGAGCATCACTGGGTGTGACCCCAAAAACAACAAAAAACCCCATAAAGAAAAACGTGTATCTACTGCCACTGAACCGAGACCAGCACCACTCCTAACAGCCGTGCCAGGCAGAACAGGGGCTTGGTGACAGGTAGGCAGTGTGTCTCCCACTGAGACGCATTCACAGGCAAAGCCATCGGGTGCAGTGACCAGGTCATGCCCATCAGGTGAGGGCTGTCCGAGGGCATTTCATCTAGGTGGGGCACTGACCGAGTCACGTTCTGAGCAATGACACACATATTTAAGGACGGACTCAGGGCTCAATGGGATCCTGTAGGAACTGGAAGAAATAAAGACCCAGTTCCCATGAGGAAGGTTTTTAGCTCAAGGGGTTTGGACCTTTTTTCCCCCTAAGATGGGAGATAATGAATTTTTTTAAGCAAAATGAGAGACATACTGAGGGCTTGTGTTGGAGAGAAAACAGGCGGCAAAAAGGACCAGATCTGAGCAAGCAACTGGGAAAGTTCTTAGGCAATGACCAAGACCCCCCCCCCACACCCACTCCCCACCCCACTCGAACAGGCAGTGCATGATGTTCAGTTTACTCTGCCCACTGGGTATCAGAGGCTCTTAGCAAGAGTTCCGGGAGAAACGTTTCCTCTCTGCTGCATGGTACAAGAAAAAGCTCCACACAGAAACTTGAGGAAAGTCACACTCAATCCCCTCCATCAGGGTCAAGAGACTCAGTGCCCCGTGGCCAGAGGGAGAGCACAGTGGTCGCAGGAAGGGCGCCAGCCCTGCATGGGGAAGACCCGGGTTCGACTTCCCAGCACCCCACAAGGCCCCCGGAGCCCAGCCAGGAGTAAGCCGAGGATCACTAGGTGTGGACCGCAAGAAAAAAGAGCAAGAGAGAGACTCAATGCTTCTTCAGACTAACCGGCTGAAGGGAGAACACAGGACTAACGCCAACGGCGGGTGGAGGCGCTCGCCAGGGTTCCCCGAGGTGCAGGGCTGGCAGCCCCAGATGCAATTGGGGACCGTTTCTGTCTGTTCACTGGGCAAAGGGAGATCCCAGGGCGCCCTGAGCGGTTGGTTAATGTCTCCTAGAATTGGGGGAGGAGGCGGCAGGTAAGTTTGGGACCCCTATTCTCAGACCAAGCTACACAAACCAAGCCGGCCAGCTCCACACTGCGCCCCCGAGGCTCCTGACCCATCACATCCCACTCACCCAAATCCCGCCGAGGGCCCTGGTTTACAGTTCTCTCTCCTGTCTCAGTCGGCAAGGTCAGTTTCGTAAGTCCTGGAAAAATCACCCCAGCCCCATTTTACTTGTAGGTTTTGGGGAACTCGGGGACCACAAGGTACTAGACTCAAGCCTGGGGGCACTTTAATAAGCAAAGCACAGGCTCCAGATTTTTCTTTTTTTTTTTGGTGTCAGGGGACACATCTAGCAATACTCAAGGGTTTATTCATGCTCTGCACTCAGGAATCACTCCTGGCAGTACTCGAGGGGCCATACAGGATGCCAGGGATTGAACCCAGGTTGGCCACAGGCAAGGCAAATGCCCGCCCTTGTGGACTACAGCTCCAGCTCTTTGAACTACCTCCCCAGCACCCAGGATCTTCCTTCCTTCCTTCCTTCCTTCTTTTCCTCTTCCTTCTTCCTTCCTTCCTTCCTTCCTTCCTTCCTTCCTTCCTTCCTTCCTTCCCTCCCTCCCTCCCTTCCTTTTTCTTTTATTTTCCCTTTCTGGGTCACACCCAGCAATGCTCAGGGGTTTCTCCTGGTTCTGCACTTGAGAATTACTCCTGGCGGTGCTCGGGGGACTCTATGGGACGTCTGGGATTGAACCCAGGTCGGCCATGTGCAAGGCAAACGCCCGCCCTGCTGCGCTACCGCTCCAGCCCTGCTCCGGCGCTTCCTGCCCTCAGGTTCACACACTGTTTCTCACACAAGGCGCGAGGGTCCTTCACACTGTCTGACTTTACTAGTCCCGGCAGCTGTGCTTGGGAGGGAGAGAGAGGGTGGGAAGCAGACATCTTTGGAATGAGCTGGAAACGGTTCAAATTAAATGAGGGGGAGGAGGGGAGAGTTCTAGACGTTTTGTTCTTCTGTCCCATGTAGCTGAAATGAAGCAAGGCACGGAAGCTGGAAGCAACGGAGACTCTCTCCGACATCAGCCTGCAAGGACTGAGCAGGCTTTTCCTCGGGCACAGCTGACCTTTGCCTGTGACAGAGAACCAGCCCTAGGGCCTCAGATCCTAAGGCACCTGGCGCTCAGCTGCACTCAATGAACACAGGCTTCTGCAAACAACCTAGGATTCTGGCAAAGAACCCGAGAGCCCGCGTGAAGATGGAGAACAGTCCCCCGGAGTTGAATTTCCTTGAGAAATCTGTGCGACGTTTCTTTGAAGCTAGAGCAAGTGAGTCATTTCATTCCCGCTGCTCGGGGTTCCACTGGAACAAGGACACTAAACCCACCAAACTAGCGGGTTCTAGGACAGGGGGCACAGCTCCCTGTGCGTCTCGAGAAAAACCTGGGAATCGAACGCCATCTCAAAACACGGCGGCATCATAACGAAATACCCAGCTGGTGTCTGGGGGACAATATAAAACAGAGGAAGTAAGAGAAAACAAGGAGATAAACAAGTGTCCGCAGGGAGCGAGGGGGAGCAGGCCCAAGAGCTGGTGGGCGTGTGCTGGAGACAGGGGTTCCATCCCGGTGCCCCACGGTCCTCTGAGAACGTGCTGGTATAGACCCGGAGCATTAGGAATAGCCCAAGCGCTCCCCCCCCCCCAACTCTTCCCCAGTCAAAAGGAGCACTGAGAGCTTCTGTCTACACTCCCTCAAGAAAGAAGAGGAAAATGCACGTAAGGAGACTAGACCGTGGCATGCAGACTGCTGGGGGCCCGGACGGAGGCCATGGTAGCCCACTGTGCTCCAGGGGCTACTTAAGAATGCTCGGGCTCTTAACCCAGGGAAATACTGACGTCACGGGGCAGACTTGGTCCTCAGAACCTCATTCCAGCAAGTGGCCTCCGTGTTTCTCCAGCTCACCAACACAAACACAAGTTTGAATAAAAAAACAAACAAAAAAAGCCTGACAGTTTGGTTGAATGAACAAGTCTTCCCTGGGCCTGGCTCTGCCTTAGGGATTTAGGGATTAAGGTTGAATAAACAGAGATAAGATATGACCCCAGGATTGACTCAGCAGCTCTCAGGCACCTTATCTCATGCTTACAAATACAACCTTTCCGCCCACCTCATCTGCCTGGGGAGAATCACTTTCTCCTCCTCCACACGCCTCACTTCTTCCTCCGCTCAAGACTCCCTCTTGGCTCAGGGCTTAACTTCTGGAGGAAAATGTCTCAAATTCCCCCACACAAACGGCCTTCACCGATCCCCCTGCCCCGCACACCCCACTATGAAGAGTCGGTTAAGTACATCGAATGAGTAATTTATTTTCTATCAGCCCTTGGTTGTGCATCAAAATACAAACTACCTTAATAATAATTAAGGAATAAATTATGGCTTGGACGAGGGAGATAGTACGAAGGGCCGAGTGTGTCTTGGCAATCCCCAGCACTAGACAAGGAGTTGGCCCGACTTCTCAAGCACGGCTAGGTATGATTCAAAACCAAACCAAACCCATAAATGCCATCACCATGCCCACATTAATGCCCCCATTCACTGTCCAAATCCGTATTGATAAGCACATGTGACATGGACGCAGTCTCATTACAGGATGGACCCGAGAAATTATCTTATCTTATTCTGTTTGTTTTGGCCCCTACCACTTCGCACTCAGGGGTCACTCCTAGCTCTGTTCAGGAGACCAGGGGGGATTCCTGAGACTGAACCCGGCTGGGCTGTGTTCGAGACAGGAACCCTACTTACTGTACAAGAACTGTCTCTCCGGCTCTACGCAGGTTAGTTTTATGCCGCTCGCTTTAACCCTGAATGTGCTTAAGCAACCTCTAACCCTTCTCACGGAATCCCACATAAATATAAACGATGATGAATTTCAAGGAAGATTTTGCTGGAAATGCATTTGCAATGAGAGTGACTCCCCCTCCCTGCTTTCTGGGCAATACCCGTGGTGTTCAGCAGCTGTGTACTCCCAACCTGGGGGCACGAGGTGCCCAGTTCCAAGCTCTCGGTCTCACACAGGCCAGGCAAGGGCTTCACCACTGGGCCCCATCCCTGCGCGCAGTGACTTTGCTTTTTAATTAGTTCAAAGGCCCAGAAATGACTAAGCAGAAACGAGGTCAAGCCCACACGATTCCTCTTTTCTTCATTTTTTTAGTACACATAAAGCACTAGAACAATTTTTTTTTTGTTTGGGGGCCATACCAGGCGATGCTCAGGGGTCACTCCTGGTTTTGCACTCAGGAATTACTCCTGGCGGTGCTCAGGGGACCATATGGGATGTCAGGGATCGAACCTGGGTCAGCCGTGTGTGAGGCAAGAGCCCTCCCCACTATACTACGGCTCTGACCCCTAAAACAACCCTCATATAAATGGAGTCTCAGAGAGATGAAGATCAAATCTGGATCTGCTGCGTGCAAGGCAAGCCCCCTGTCCCCAGCACAATCCCTCAAGCACCCCTGGGCATGTTTTAATCTCTGTACTGAGTAATATATTTTCAAAATCTTAAGAGTTACAAGATATGCTTTGTTTAAAACAAACGGCCAAATGAGACTGATTTACAGTTCTCCATATATATATATATATATTCCAATTTAAATATGATATATGAATTGAGGAAAATGATCACCAAGGGCTGGAGTGATAGCACAGCGGGTAGGGCGTTTGCCTTGCACGCAGCCAACGTGGCTGACCTGAGTTCGATTCCTCCGCCCCTCTCGGAGAGCCCGGCAAGCTCCCCGTGACATATTCAATATGCTAAACACAGTAACACCAAGTCTCACGAAGGAGACGTTACTGGGCCCGCTCAAGCAAATTGATGAACAATGGGAGGACCGTGACCGTGACCATGATCACCATGAAATTAAATGTTTATACACACCTTAGAAAGCAGATAAAAAGTGGTCAGGGCGTAATTAAAATACTTCGGACTGAGCTGCAGAAGAAAGCTCGGGTGGGAGACCAGGGGCCTAGGGTGTGTGAGGCGCCAAGTCTGACCCCCTGGACAGCAGCCAGTGCCCTCCGCCAATCACAGCTGGGCCCAAAAGGCTGAGCATTGGTGGCAGCGGCCCTGCCCTTCTCCCTCCACCGTCAAGGGTCAGAGAGAAACTACAGCGGGCACAGAGCCAGCCTCCTCCCAGCATGCAGCGGACTCAGGTCTCATCCACTGGCAGGCCACAGGGAAGCCCGGAGCCCCAGCAGGAGTGATCCCTGAGCACAGAGCTGAGAGCCAGGCTTGCGCACAAAGGGGTGTGGCCCAAACACACACAAGAAGAAAAAGAGAATTAGTAAGATGTATTTACCCACCATTCATTTAATAACTTAGCAGATGTTAGTAAGTTACTGTGATAATAATAATAATTGTATAAGGTAAAAGGTAAAGGCCCTCCTGTTGATCATCGATTTGCTCGAGCGGGCCCAGTAACGTCTCCATTGGAGACTTTGTTGTTACTGTGTCTGGCATATCGAATACTCTCGATAGCTTGCCGGGCTCTCCGAGAGGGGCGGAGGAATCGAACTCGGGTCGGCCATGTTGGCCGCTTGTAAGGCGAACGCCCTATAATTGTATAATAAATAAGTATATGTCAATTTAGTATACCATTTACTCATTCTGGAATATTAATTGTATGAACAGTTACATTTATAAGTTACTTGTGAAATGGATTTTTTTAAAAAAGCTTTTAAAAAAAATCTGCAAAGATGCCGTCAGATCCTGCACCAGGCTGAGTCTCATAACCAGGGCATTCTGGAGGGGGGAGGTGAGCCCTCCACTGCCCAAACAACCCCGGCAACTGAAAACCTCCAGAACCCAATGGCAGCCACGCTCATGGCTGGACTCCACAGGCTCGGACAAGCCTCATCTCGTCTGAGTATTGGTGGAAGTGGCCCTGAATCTGTTGAATTTGTTGAAAAACTCAGGTATGAGAGTTTTATGACTGAAATCTCGGGGCTCTCACAAAGTCGGGGATGGGTGACCTCCCTCCCATCTCCCTGTCCTTCCGGGAGTCTGGCAGTCACGCCCACAAACTGCCTCTGGCACCAAATCGGCTCATTAACTGGCCATGATCCAGAGATTGCACCCAGGAGCACTGCCCCCTTCCTCGGTCACTGCGGGAGGCTGCCCCCCTGCTGGGCAGTCTGGGGTCCAGGCCCTGTGGGCAGCAGCACGTGGGAGTGAGACAGCAGGAACAAGCCTGCTCTTCCCTGAGGCCAGCTGGAGGAAAGGCGACTTGGACCTCAACTAACCTCTCAGATCATGTTTAAAAGAATAGTTGGTAGAAGAAGATCTGGAAGCGAATGCCCCTGAAACTATCCAGGATCAAGGGGTCCTTAAAACCTTGTCTGTACAGGTGGTCACCCCCAAAACAAGAGGTGAGTACCCAACCCACATGGGAACTCTCCGCAACTAAACCAAAGCACCAAGGCTGTTGGGACGGGGTTAGTCTATCACCTGGGGCATGGATTTCTGGGGGGCTTCTCCCCAAATCTCTCTTTGAGTTTGTACAGAACAGGACTGTCCTGAAATGTCATCAGTATGAGAAGAAACCCACTAGATACGAAGTGACATTTCGGTGATTAGATTTTATTTTGTAAGTTACAGTGGCCTCACAGATTGGATTTTTGCTTACCACACGTCCCCTATTTGGGAAGAGGTACAATTTGTCTGCCAACAAGGTTTTGATGAATGTCAACGGTCTAACCTTACTTGTACTAATTCTACTTAAATCAGATGAGGCACCAATATCAGAAGAATTTTCTCCATTAGGTTTATAATGTTAATTTTAGTTCTCCATGTCTTCAGGACAAGCAGATAATCTGCCACTGTGAAGAAGTGAAAGACTTTGGTGGTGGGGGAGGGAGGGGACAGGAGCAATAGTACAGCAGGGGGGGCATTTGCCTTGCATGAAGCTGACCCAGATTTGATTCTTGGCATTCCATATTGTCCCCCTGAGCACCGCCAGGACGGATTCCTGAGTACAAAGCCAGGAGTAACCCCTGTGCATCACTGGGTGTGACCCCCCCCCCAAAAAAAAAACTGAGTGAACCAAGTTGAAACCCTGCTCCATTGATTTACTGATTATGTGGTGCTTTGGAAAGTCACTGAAAACTCTAGAATACTGAGATAACTCAGATACCTCACTTGTAAGAAAGGAAGATGAATTCTGATCGACTCTGCAAGGCTCTTGTGGAAACATCAAGAAGGTCCATCCCAGACCGCTGTGGTGATGTTCAAATGTGACCGGGAGATTACACACACACACACACACACACACACACACACACACACACACACACACACACGACACACACACACACACACACAGACACACACACACACACACACAGACACACACACACACACAACACACGACACACACACACACACGGTAGTTTTCAGGACAACACACACACACACACACACACATCACCCCCCCCCCCCCATGGTAGTTTTCAGGACAACTCACCAGAACCGTATCCGGGGATCGGCCCTTTGCTCTGCAGGTCTGGGAGCCCCACGTTCAGCGTGCTGGGGACCATGTTGTCCAGGTGCGGCTTGGGCCCCACGGGATGCGACGGCGAGTGCTTCATGCTCGGCTGCCTCTGCTGCTGCTGCAGCGCGCTCACCATCCGGGCCAGCTACGGGCGCGGGGACACAGGGCGCCGTCAGGGCAGGGCCCGGCCAGGCAGAAAAGCGCCCCGGCCTGCGCACTCACGCTTGGGGGGCCCCCCGCCCCACCCCGCCCCGCCCCGCCCACCTACCTGCTGCTCCTGCTGCTGGCGCACGGCCTGGGAGATCTTCCTCTGGTTCTGGAGCAGCTGCTGCTGCTGCTGCTGCTGCTGCAAGAGGAGCTGGCATGCCTACGGGCGGGCGGGAGAGACGTCCCTCAGCGGGCTGCCCCGGCCGGCAACGCGGGGAGGCCCCCCCACGCCAACGGCCCCTTCCCCCAGGAGACGCGGCTCCCACTCACCAACTGGAACTGGGGGATCTGTGGAAGCTGGCTCAGCATGGCAATTTGTTGAGGAGATAACTGGGGCCCCACGTTGAAAAGACCTGGATTCAGGCCACTGTTGGGAAACTGTTTGAGCATTGAGGCAGAAACCTGGCCAGAAGGAGAAGGAAGACAGGAAGACAACGTCAGCACTGATTTATTTTTTGAATTGAAGCACCGTGAGATGCGGTTACAAACTTTCATGATTATGGTGCAGTTATACAATGATTGAGCACCCACCCCTCCTCCAGTGGGCATCTGCCACCACCAATGTCCCCAGTACCCCTCCCGCCACCCCCATCCCACCCCACCCCCTGCCTCTGTGGCAGGCACCTTCCTTCTTACGCTTTATTTTTGGGCATTGTTGTTTGCAGTACAAACAGTGAGAGGCCATCATGTTTGGTCCTCTGTCTACTTTCAGCACACATCTCCCATCCTGAGCGATGCCTCCAACTGTCATTGGCTTAGTGGTCCCTTCTCCATCCCAACTGCCTTTTCCCCCAGCACATGAGGCAGCTTCTAAACCAAGGAGTGATCCTCCCAGCCCTTATCTCTACTATCCTTAGGCGTTAGTTTCCTATCACGTTACTTTATATTCCACAAATGAGTGCAGTCATCCTATGTCTGTCACTCTCTTTCTGACTCATTTCACTTAGCATGATACTCTCCATGTCCATCCACTTATATGCAAATTTCATGACTTCAGAACTAATTTTTAAAGTTTTTTTTTAAAAAAAAATCATCTGTGGAAAGAACTTTTAATAGAAAGGAAGCACTAGTTCCTTTGATATAAAACTATGAAAATATTTTAAAGATAAGGGGCAGGGGGCTTGAGCAATAGCACTGCGGGTAGGGCATTTGCCTTGCACGTGGCCAACCCGGGTTCAATTCCCAGCATCCCATATGGTCCTCTGAGCACCGCCAGGGGTGATTCCTGAGTGCAGAGCCAGGAGGAACCCCTGCGCATTGCTGGGTGTGACCCAAAAAGCAAAATAAATAAATAAATAAATAAATAAAAATAAGGGGCAAGGGTCAAAGAGCCAGCACCCATGGATTTTCCCTCTGCATGCAGGAGCCCTGGGTCTAATCCCCGGCAACAACGGTTCTCTGAGCACTGCTGGGTGTGGCCCAAAACCTCCCCAAAAGTTAAGGGGTGAACCCCAAGCATCCCTCCCCAGCAAAGTATGTACACTGGCCCTTTGAGTTACTTCCCAAGCCTCAAAGAGGCAGAACTTTAAATTGTGTTTTTTTTTTCCCCCCTCCGGCTTTTTATTTTGGGACCACATCTGGAAATGCTCAGGCCTTACTCCTGGCTCTGCACTCAAGGATCACTCCTCACGGTGCTCAGGGAACCATATGGGGTGGCAGGAATCAAACCCCAGTCAGCTGCAAGCAAGTCAAGAGTTATCCCCTACGGTTGGCGCAATAGCACAGCGGGGAGGGTGTTTGCCTTGCACACAGCCAACCCTGGTTCGATTCCCAGCATCCCATACGGTCCCCTGAGCACTGCCAGGGGTGATTCCTGAGTGCAGAAGCAGGAGTAACCAGCCCTGTGCATCGCCAGGTGTGACCCAAAGAAAAAAAAGAAAAAAAAAAAGAGTTATCCACTATTCCACCTTCCCAGCCCAGAGGCAGAATTCTTGTTTGAGTAACAGCTGAGAATCTACCCAGGCCAGGAGAGGAGTGAAATAGCAAGATTCAAGAAGCTGAAAGAGTTCCAAACAAAATAAGCCCAAACAGTTGCTATTTTAATAAAATGGCAAAATTCTAAGTTAAGAGAAAATCCTTCTTGTGTGTTGCTGGGTTATGAGGGTCACACCAGGCAATGCTCAGGATGAGACCCTCCGTGGAGAAGGAGATACACCAGGCTCAGCCACATGCAAAACAAGGACCTCAACTTCCGCGATATTTCTCCAGCCCTTCAGAGAGAATCTTCGAAACAGCAAGATAAGGGGCTGCAGAGACAGTACAGTGAGTAAGGTGCCTGCCTTACACACAGCTGACGCAGGTTCGATCCCCGGCACCCCCTATGGTCTCCTGAGCTCATCAGAGGTGATCCCTAAGCAGAGTCAGGAGTAAACTAGGAGAAAGCCCTGAGCACACCACCGATGATGGCCTCTAAACGAACTAAAGCAAGACAAGAGCAGAATCATACACAAGGAAACTCAAGTAAAACTATCAGCGGATTTCTCCCCCCAGAGTCCAAAAAGGCATGATGTAGACAAAGTAGTGAAGGAAAAAGAATGACAACCCGGTTGGATTTGAAGGGAGGTGCAAGGACCTTTTCAGACAAACAACAGCTACGTTTAACACCGGCAGGGCGCAGAGGAACTGTCCTGTGGCGGAGAGAGCCCAGCAAGCCTGTGGTGATGGGTTCAACCCCCACCATCTGTGGTCCCAGGGCCACACGCGGATTTCCAGCCACACTGCAGTCAAGTGTGTTAAGCACCTGACACACACAAGTGAGGGCTGTCACCAAAAGACCATGCAAGTGTCACACAGCCCGGAGGGATGGCCCAGGGGGAGCCGTGAGGCATGCACTGCGGCAGCGATGCCCCCCCCCCCCCCCAACCATGACCTGTGTGCAACTCGACCTGGAGTGGAACTGACCCACAGCCTCTGCGTGGGTACTGCCTCACCCAGAGATGTTCAGGGCACTTCATGTGCGAGGGCTCAAACCTGGGCACGCCTTCCTGCCCTGTGAGTCTCCTCCAAGAAATAGTTAAGGGGTGCTAGAGAAGGAAAAAAGAAACCCCGCTTGAAAGTACCAAGATACCGGAGACTCAAATAAATTTCGGAAGAGTTCAGCAAGCTGTAAAGACGCCTCAAGACCACTTGCCAGACTGAATCTCATATCGGGGGCACCCCGGAGGCGGGCGGGTAAGTCCCATCATCCACCATAACAGAGCCCCGGAAGGTGAAAACCTCCAGAACCCAATAGCCGTCATGCTCACGCCCATCTCCACAAGCTCGAACGAGCCTCATCCATGAATGAACTACTGAAAAACTCATGAATGCAGATTTTGTGACCGAAATCTCCAGGTTCTCAAGGAGTTGGGGATGGGCGACCTCCCCCCATCTCCCTATCCTTCTGAGAGCCTGGCAGTCATGCCCAAGAACTGCCTCTGGCGCCATAGAAGCTCATTAATCAGCCATGATCCAGAGACACACACAATAAATCACAGAACAGAACAACAAGCTGCAGAGAAGCTTCAGATCCCCAAGTCACCATCTAGTTAAAAAATTTAACTCCGGCTGTATCACCACCTTCTTTGAAATTTTGGAATTCCTAGCCACATTTGCAGCCGTGCAACATTTCATAGTCTATACCACTGATGTGGCAGAAGCAGCACACGTCGGATAGGGTGGATGGCAATCAGCCTCAATTAAAAAAAAATAATGCCACACAAGGCTCAGTCTATTACAGCATCTTCGTAATCTCTTGTACAAGGGCTCAATAGTTTCAGGGTGAGATATAACAATCTTCACACACTTTTTTCTAAGGAAACATGTTTTGGTCATTTTTAGAGAATTACTCCTAACAAGCAATACGAAGTTAATTATTTAGGGCCTGTTATTGGGACAGGCTTGGGTGGTGGTTGGGAAAATTCGAGATAATGGTGGTGGGTTAAGGCGTAGGAATATTGATTGTAAAGAATTATTGAACAGCTTTATAGAAATTAAAAGAAAACAGTACTAAGATATAATGTGGGAGAGGAGAGTAATCACGGGATTCCTCTTTTTTTTCTCTTAAGCTGGCCAAATTCTTATTATCACTGTTCTGTTAAGTTTTGAAAATATTTTACACTTCAGATATTATCATTTCCTATTTTTGGTTTGTTGCTTTGTGTTTGGGTGCTCAGGGTTTACTCCTAACCCCTTGACTCGGGTCACTCCTGGTAGGGCGGCAAGTGAGTGCTCTCCCTGCTGTACTGCCTCTCTCCGGCCCTCTCATTTTCAGTTCCAAGATTTATATCTGGCACTTTCTAGTGCTGAGATTTCAAATAGATTTACCTATGATTAGCATATTTTCCATTTCATTGTTGAAGGTGCTTATAAAACGTCTGACATTACTCTGTTCAATTCAACATTTGGCGCCTATCAGGGTCGGCTTATACTGAATTTTTAAAAAAATTTTTGCTTTTTGGGTCATACCCAGAGATGCACAGGGGTTACTCCTGGCTCTGCACTCAGGAAGTACTCCTGGCAGTGCTCAGGGACGACATGGAATGCTGGGAATCGAACCCGGGGCGGCCGTGTGCAAGGCAAACGCCCTGCCCACTGTACTACTGCTCCAGCCCCTTATACTGAATTTTTGATCTGAGGCTGGGCCTGGCAGTAAATCGGGGTTACTTTCAGCCCAGTGCTCAGGGCTGAACCCCAGTGGTGCTCGGAATCACATCCAGAACTCGTGTAAGCAAAGCATGTGCATCAGCCCTTCCTTTGAGACACCTAGCTCATGTGTCTCCAAGGGCTGATTTTCTGACACAGTCATCATGCTATCCTAATTCTTTTGCTGAAGAATTCTGGATCACATACCAGGTTTTTTTTATATATTCTATTCTGAGCCCTTGGGTTCTATTTCACTTCTTTATTTTGATGTTTTTCTCCTTGGTTGGGGGCGGTGGATTATACCTGTGGGTGCTCAGGGGCTCATCCTGGCTCTGTGCTCAGGATTTGAACCGGGGTGGGTGGAATTTACGGTAAGTACCTTAACCCCTGTACGATCTCTCCAGCCCCTATCTTCAGATTTTAACTTTACCGGACTCACACACACTGCAGTCTCTCTTTAGTAGAGCTCAAATTTCTGTTCAGTTCTTTCTTTTAGGGGTCTAGGGAGTGTTTGCTATTTCGGCCACACCTAGCGTGCTGGGGGTTGAGGCTGGGTCCCTACGCTCTCATGCTCAGGGTGGTCTTTCTGGCCTAGCTCAGTTCTTCTATCCCTCACTGCATGCTTTACTGATCCCGTGCATCTGACGGATCATTTAGGCATGACTTACACTCAAAAACGGTTACAGCTTTCCTACTATCCTTTCTTCCCGATGCTCTAATTACCGAAGCCCTCCAGTCTATGTGCACTTGCTCTTATTTTATGCTCTGTTCTGTTTTTT